TCTTCGTCAGATGATGGTGATCTACTCCAGCCAGAATTGGACCGTGATTATGAACTTCGGGAAAGGTATGTACTCTCTCTGTTTGTATCTGTTATGTATTTGGTGTAATAGTATTCATCTATAGTAATTCCACACTCGCAAACTACAAAATGGACGCCGCTTTGTTGTTCTAGAGAAATCGTTCTGTGAGATACGAAAACAATGGGAAAATCGTGTTGGTGAACACGAATCAATAGATTAATTGTATTTTGTGACTATAACACGGCAGTATATAAATAAAGCTGTATTGTATATCAACCCAGTCTCACGGTATTTACACGGCATGCATTGTGAGTGATATACTGTTATTTCACTCACGCAAAATGGATGTTCTGCTGTTGTTTTAGAGGAATTATTTCTGATTTGAGTTACATTTTTGAAAGAGTAAGCCAGTAAAGTAATCGATTTGTTTTTTCCACATTTGTTTTCACAGTGATGAAGACGCGTATGATATGGCTTCTGGATCATCTGCCTCATCTAAGCTACGGCGTGCATCAGATCAGCATACAGCTGCTCCAGAGCCATCAACATCTGCCTCATCTAAGCTACGACGTGCATCAGATCAGCATACAGTTGCCCCAGAGCCATCAACATCTAAGCTACGACGCCGGACGTCTGCACCAGAACTAACTCAGCCTTCCTCTGCATCTTCTGAACCATAATTTGAGCTGCCCAGCAAAAGAAAAGGGAAAGCATCGAAAAAAGCTGTAAAACCCAGGAAGCGTGGCCGAGGTGGGTCGGCCGCTTCCAGAACGACAGAGGAAGAACTCAGGTGGCACAACAAAGAGGAGAATGACCAAACACCAGAGCCACTGAGGTTCATGCCAGCCAGGGTCATCACAAACTCCGCCCCCATCAGCAATCTGCTAGTGTATGACCTGGGGGTGTCTGACCACAATACCATCTCTATGGAGCTCTTTTTCCTCACTTCCTTTTCCACTCAGCATGCCCAAACGCCGAATCCACTTCAGGAACCTGAGGAACATCAACCCGGACACCATGACCCTGGACCTCCAGCATCTTTCTTTCGCCAACTTCTCATCAGTAAATGAGTCAGTCGCATATTACAACCAGTCCCTTGACCGTCTCCTTGATCTGCACGCCCCCCTCAAAACCAGGATGGTCACGTTCTCGCGCTCAGCCCCTTGGTACACCGGCGAGCTGCAGAGAATGAAGACAGCTGGGCGTGTCCTTGAGCGGCGGCTCAAGGCCTCAGGACTCACTGTTCACCGGTTAGCCTATCGTGAACACCAGAAGGCCTACGCACAGTCCCTCAGAGATGCACGGTCCCAGTACTACTCCTCCCTCATCAACAACAGTACTGGAAACTCCAAGCAACTCTTCTCCACCTTAAACCACCTCCTCAAACCCCAAAGTCCTTTACACTCCGACTCCACTGAGAAGCAGTGTAGCAACTTCGCCGCCTTCTTCACAAACAAAGTTGACACCATCCGCTCCCTCCTCTCTAGCCCCTCTGCACCTCCAGTTCCAACTGCTGACCCACAGCCTGGGACAACCCAGCCTCTTCGCTGTTTCACGGACATCTCTCAGCGAGAGGTTGAGGGCATCGTTAGGAGGATGAAGCCCTCCACCTGTGTCCTGGACCCCCTTCCGTCAGCTCTTGTGAAATCGTACATCTGTACCATGAGCCCCATGATCACTAAGATCGTAAACCTCTCTCTCCAGGCTGGCCATGTCCCCTCTGCCCTAAAAACCGCTGTCATCAAACCTCGTCTCAAAAAACCCTCCCTTGACCCGGGAATCCTGGCCAACTACAGACCCATTTCCAACCTTCCTTTTCTATCAAAGGTGCTGGAAAAACTAGTTGCTGCTCAGCTCCAGGACCACCTAAACTCCAACAACCTATTTGAGACGTTCCAGTCTGGTTTCCGCTCAGGCCACAGCACAGAAACTGCCCTGGTCAGGGTCACCAACAACCTGCTGATGACGGCTGATGCTGGCTCTCCCTCTCTCTTCATCCTCCTCGATCTCACTGCAGCTTTCGACACCGTCGATCACGGCATCCTCCTCCATCGTCTGCACTCCACCATCGGACTCTCTGACTCTCCCCTTGACTGGTTCAGATCATACCTCACCGGGAGAACAGAGTACGTCTCCTTGGGCGAGGCAGAGTCGGGTACCCACAACGTCACCTGTGGTGTCCCTCAAGGATCAGTTCTCGGCCCCACCCTCTTCACACTCTACATGCTCCCCCTTGGCTCTATCATCAGCCGACATGGAGTATCATTCCATTGCTACGCTGATGACACCCAACTGTACCTCAGGATCAACCCTACCTCCTCTGCAGCCCTGCCTTCACCCACACTCACTGCCTGCCTGGAAGAGATCCAGGCGTGGATGAAGCAAAACTTCCTGAAACTCAACAGCTCCAAGACCGAAGCCATTATAGTTGGCACCCCACACCAGGTTCGGTCATCCACCATCACCTTCTCCGGCCAGGACACTACCCTCTCCTCAATAGTCACCAACCTGGGTGTTAAAATGGACGCCCATCTGACCTTTGAGGCCCACATTAAACAGCTGTGCAAAAACCCCTTTTATCACCTCAGGAACATCGCCAAACTCCGCCCCACACTCACTCTGTCTGACGCCGAAAAGCTGGTCCACGCCTTTGTCTCCTCCAGGCTGGACTACTGCAATGCACTCCTCATCGGGATCCCTAACAAAAGCATCCAGAAGCTCCAGTACATTCAGAACAGCGCTGCTAGGATCCTGATGAGGGTGCGCAAATATGATCACATCACCCCCATCCTTAAAGCACTACACTGGCTCCCCGTGGAACTGAGGATCGAATTCAAGGTCTCCGTCCTCACCCACCAGTGTGTCCATGGAACTGCCCCTCCCTACCTCAAGGAACTCCTCACCACCCATACCTCCTTGCGGACCACCCGCTCCAGCAACTCCAACTTGCTCAAACCCCCCAGGACTAAGCTCCGTACTATGGGAGACCGGGTCTTCTGCTCGGCTGCTCCCAGTCTGTGGAATGCTCTCCCCGACCACATGAGAGCACCACAGACCGTGGAGGCTTTTAAAAACTGGAGGCCTCAAAACTCATCTCTTCAAAAGAGCCTTTGCCTAGATCTTTTTAGCACCCTTTTATTTTATTTTTTTATTGCTTTTTATTAATTCTACCGTGTTGTGTAATGTCTATTTATACTGTTCATGCTCACTGCTTGTAGCACTTCGGGATTTGAAATCAAATATGAAGTGCTTTATAAATGGAACCCATTATTATTATTATTATTAGGGTCCCAGGGCCAGCGTTTGACACCACTGCATCATGGTCTCCCCTTCAGCTTTTCAGACTATTTTTTAGCACTGCCGTGGTTCATACAATCATTGCCAACACAAACACAAATGCCCTGAATAGATTGTAGGGTGGAAAGAAGTATGTTTGGAAAGTGCTGACTTTCAAGGATTTTTATATTTTCCTGGCCATTATCCTTTTCACAGGCCTAGTTAACGTTCACAACCGATCGGACTACTGGAAGAAAGCATGGCCATATGACTTCAAATTCCCATCTGATATGATGCAACGCTTCCAATACATCATGTGGTCATTGCACCTGAGCAACCCTAAAGAAGACGAAGAAAAAGGTGTACAGACTTTTCAAGATAAAGCCCCTGTACACTGAAATCACTGCTGCCTGCAAAGCACATTTCCAGCCCTATCAAAACATTTCAATAGATGAAAGGATGGTCGCCTCCAAAGCCCGCATAAGCATGAAGCAGTACATCAAATCAAATCAAATCAAGTTTTATTTATATAGCACATTTTTAAACGATTTTTGGTCGAGCCAAAGTGCTGTACATATAATAAAAATACCCTACAGTAAAGACACTTTACAGCAAATACAACAGCACAGTTTGTTCAGAATATCAGTATGAGAAAAACTACACCCTCTGTCCTTAGACCCTCACATCGTACAAGGAAAAACTTCCGGAGAAAAACCCACATTTCAAAGGGAAAAATGGGAGAAACCTCAGGGAGAGCAACAGAGGAGGGATCCCTCTCCCAGGACGGACAGAAGTGCAATAGATGCCGTGTGTAAATCGAAGAGATAATACATTTTACAGCATAGGTAGACCGAATGTTTGGAAATGCATGTGTCTATAATAAGAAGATGAGTCCACGAAGATGTCAACAACAATCCTGTGGGAGCCATCAGGGAAGCAGCATGACGAGACCCAGGCAGGACCGCAGAGACAGGCCCAGCCACGACTTGAAGTCCACGACTTAATCCAGAACTCAGGATAGAGGATCCAGGGCACAGGACCACAGCAAGAGGATCAGCCTCAACTCCAGATCCCGGCGTAGATATAGACACAAAACAAGAAAAATTTGGCTGGGTTAATTGGAACATGAGAATACACAGACACAGACAGACAGAAGGAAGAACAAGCACTCCCTTAGGATAGGTTGAGGGAAAAGGGTAGCAAGTAAGAGAGTAAGAAACAGAGGTGGAGAGGCACACGCAGGGAACAAGGTCCCCACTGGAGCCTCAGTTGGAATTGAGCAGAGGTAGGGAGGTAAGCTGTGAATACGGTCATAACACTCCCCTGCCTGGATAAGCTTCTCTGCAAACCTGTTTCCCTCTAATAAAACCTCACGAGGTTAGAGAGGGAAAAGGTTTTAGATAAAGAGAGGATAGAAAGAATCGATTACAGTAGTAGAGAATATGAGAAGTAGAGAGAGAAAATATTTAGAAGAATGAGTAAGAGTAGTAATAACCTTATTTTTCAATATAAGATCCAAGTTTTTAGGATTTAAGTGAAAGAGCAAGAACCAAAATATAGGTGAAGAGGCACAGCGTATCTACGTCAGTAGATAGTCTACTGTATAGTCTTATTAGATTATTATATCTGGACTGGACTGTTACGCTCACCGGTAGCTACAGGAGTGAACTCACAATGCTGAACACAGGACGATGAAACAGAGCTTTTGAGGTAGAAAAAGGTTTATTAACCAAAAACCTAATATTGAGTCAGACGAGGGATTTAATATCCTATAAACCCAAAGCCAGGGTTTGTCAACTGAGGTGGTGCGGATATGCACGGAGATACTCTGGCGAGGAGAGCCGGGGAACCAGAGCTGGCGAGAGTTGACAGGAAGGAGCTGGTGTGCGTGGAAGCACGAAGGTACACTAGCGAGGAAAGCCGGGGATCCAGAGCTGGCGATAGTTGACAGGTTGGAGCTGGTGTGCGTGGAAGCACGGAGATACTCAGACGAGAGGTACGTGGCTGGATGTGGCAGGCAGAGGAGTAGGCAGATGGATTCTGACGGAGAACACAAGGGTTAGATTTGGCAGGAACACAGAGAGTTAGTTTTACCATAAACTACATGTACCAAGTCGAATTACCAGCGAGGTGAAACGACGAACTGGTGAATACTGGATGAGAGAACCGGGCATATAAGCAGATGAAGGTGAGTAGTGTAATCAGGATGATGAGCAGCAGCTGCGGAGGTGAGTTGGCGGGAATCAGAAGTGGGTCAGCCACACCCAGCCAGGGAGACAGACACACAGACAGACAGAACGAACATAACAAACATAAAACAAAGAAGAGAAGAAGGAGGGAGATACTGCAAATCCTCACAGTACCCCCCCCTCAACGGGAGCCTCCTGGCGACCACCAGGCTTGTCAGGGTGTGCTCTGTGGAACTCCCTCACCATGACAGGGTCCATGATGCGTGACCGAGGCACCCAGCAACGTTCCTCCAGGTTGTAACCCTCCCAATCAACCAGGTACTGAAAGCCCCTGCCCCGGCGTCTGACATCCATAAGCCGACGCACGGTGTAGGCAGGATGATCATCGATGACTCGGGGGGGAGGAGGGGGAATGGTTGGAGGGCACAGGTCACTAGTGTGGACTGGCTTGATCTGGGAAACATGAAAGGTTGGATGAACCTTCATGGATCTGGGGAGTCTCAAGCGGACAGCAGAGGGGTTAATAATGCGCTCAATGAGGAAAGGCCCAAGGAACCGAGGGGACAGTTTCTTTGACTCGGTGAGGAGTGAGATATTTTTGGAAGACAACCAAACTGATTGTCCAGGGGTGTAATGGGGAGCGGCATGTCTGTGACGGTTAGCTGACCGTTGATTCCTGGTAGAAGTCCGGAGGAGTTCTGAGCGAGTGTCCCTCCAAATCTTACGGCACCGTTGAATGTGATGCTGGACAGAAGGAACTGCCAACTCACTCTCCTCCTCAGGAAACAGGGGAGGTTGGTACCCTAAGGAGGCTTCAAAAGGAGAGAGAGCAGTTGCAAATGACGTGAGTGAATTAAAGGAATACTCCACCCAGGGTAGAAGGGAGCTCCAGGTAGATTGATTGCGATTGGCAACACAGCGGAGAGTAGACTCCAGGTCTTGATTGGCCCTTTCAGTTTGACCGTTTGACTGGGGATGATAACCAGAAGTTAGACTGACAGATGCACCAAGTGAATGACAGAAATTCTTCCAAACCAGAGAGATGAACTGAGGTCCACGGTCGGAGACAATGTCAGCCGGGATTCCATGCAGGCGGAAAACATGCTGGGTGAGAAGTTGACCGGTCTCCAGGGCTGAGGGAAGCTTGGGCAGAGCTACAAAATGGGCACATTTGGAGAAATGGTCTACAACTGTTAGAATAGTTGTGTTTCCTTGTGAGGGAGGTAGGCCGGTGACAAAATCTAGTGCAATATGAGACCGAGGTCGACTTGGGATAGGAAGGGGCTGGAGCAATCCTGCAGGTCTCTGATGAGAGGCCTTGCTCCTAGCACATGTAGTGCAGGCTGAAACAAACTCCTTAGTGTCCTTGTCAACTGTTGGCCACCAGAAATGTCTCCGGAGAAGAGAGAGTGTGCGGTTGGCACCAGGATGATTAGCGAAACGGGAGCTGTGGACCCACTGCAGGACTTGAGAACGGACAGAGTTGGGGACAAACTGACGGTTTGGCGGACCACAACCAGGGTCCGGTTGCTCCAATAGCGCCTCCGGGATGGAGTTACTGATCTCCCAGGTGAGGCCACCCACAACACAGCTCAGGGGAAGAATAGAGTCAAAAGACGTGACTGGTCCCTCAGACGAAAACGACCTGGACAGGGCGTCGGGTTTAGTATTCTTGGAACCAGGACGATAAGTTAGAGAGAAGTTGAAACGACCAAAGAAGAGGGCCCACCTGGCCTGTCGGGAGTTTAGCCGTTTAGCAGACTGAATGTACTCCAGGTTCTTGTGGTCAGTCCAAACAAGGAATGGCTGCTCGCTGCCCTCGAGCCAGTGTCGCCACTCCTCCAACGCCATCTTCACCGCCAGCAGCTCTCTGTTGCCCACATCATAATTTCTCTCAGCTGGGGAAAGACGGCGAGAGAAGAAAGCACATGGGTGAAGCTTATTGTCTGGCCCTGCCGTCTGAGACAGAACAGCGCCAACCCCGATGTCAGATGCATCTACCTCCACCACAAACTGCTTGCTTGAGTCTGGCTGGATGAGTATGGGGGCAGATGTGAACAAGGATTTGAGGAGAAGAAATGCCTTGTTAGCATCTGTAGTCCAGGTAAACTTGATCTTGACAGAAGTGAGACTGGAGAGTGGAGCTGCTACCTTGCTATAGTTCCTGATGAACCGGCGATAGAAGTTAGCAAAACCCAGGAACCTCTGCAGCTCCTTCCTAGTAGTGGGGACTGGCCACTCGGAGACAGCTAGGATCTTTCCTGGATCAGCCTCCAACTTGCCCTGCCTGATGATATATCCCAGGAAGCTGACCCGCTCCTGGTGAAACTCGCACTTCTCAGCCTTGACGAACAGCTTGTTCTCAAGCAGCCTTTGCAGCACCTGACTGACGTGGTCCTGATGTTCCTCCAGACTCGTGGAAAAAATCAAGATGTCGTCAATGTAAACAAACACGAATCGGTTAAGGAAGTCTCGTAAGACATCATTAACCAGGGCCTGGAAAACAGCGGGGGCATTAGAGAGTCCAAAGGGCATGACAAGATATTCGAAGTGACCAAGGGGGGTGTTGAAAGCTGTCTTCCACTCATCTCCTTGGCGAATTCGAACAAGGTGGTAGGCATTCCTGAGGTCGAGCTTGGAGAAGATGGTGGCACCTTGGAGAGGTTCAAAGGCTGAGTTTATCAGGGGAAGTGGGTACTTGTTTTTAACTGTAATGTTATTTAGCCCACGAAAGTCAATACAGGGTCGGAGAGACTTATCCTTTTTGTCCACGAAGAAAAACCCAGCACCCAGAGGAGAGGAAGAAGGACGAATTATCCCAGAAGCAAGGGAGTCACCGATGTATCTCTCCATGGACTCTCTTTCAGGCCGAGACAGATTATAAAGCCTGCTGGTGGGTAAAGGAGCTCCAGGCAGCAGATTGATGGGACAATCATAGGGACGATGAGGAGGGGGAGAGAGAGAGCTTTCTCCTTGTTGAAGACCCCACTCAGGCTGTGATAAACTTCAGGAACACCAGACAAGTCAACTTCAGCAGAGACACAAGGAGCAGACTTAGGTTCAACAGGGACGGGAGGCACAGCAGACTGTAAACAGTGAAGGTGGCACGACTGGCTCCATTCCATGATTCTTCCTCCGGCCCAATCAATATGTGGATTGTGGGTGCGAAGCCATGGGTATCCAAGAACCAAAGGGGTTGCTGGTGAGGAAATAACCTTCAGTTGAATCTCCTCTCTGTGATTACCAGAAATAAACAGGGTTAAGGGTTGTGTCTGCTGTGTAACCTTAGAAATGCTTTTCCCATTTAAAGCATATGCTGTCAAAGGTTCCGTTAGAGTTTCCAAATGTAACCCCAGCTGTTTGGCTAGTTCACAGTCCACAAAGCTATCCTCAGCACCAGAGTCAACGAGAGCAGAAAGGGGCAATGTCTGAGCGTTGAAACAAAGTCTAGCAGGAATCAAAAAACGGCTCAAAATTGGGGCTACAATAGGTGTAGGTTGCGAACTCGTCAGGACCCCCAACTTTACTGACGAGCCCTTGCGTTTGGGCGGACAGGACAGCCAGAGAGGATATGGCCACCCTTTCCACAGTACAGGCATTCTCCACACCTCATACGTCGAAGGCGCTCCTCAGGGGATAATCCAGTGCGTCCCAACTGCATAGGTTCCACCATAGCAGAAGTGGGCACGCGGGTTGGTGAGGTGAAGCCAGATGGTCCGGACACAGAGGGAGCAAACCTGGGTGAGCTGTTTGGCTGATAAGGCAAAGCAAAAGGAGAACGCTGCGTGCGCTCCGCACGGCGCTCCCGCAGCCGGCTGTCGAGACGAGAAACCCAGGAGATTAAGGATTGGAGGTCAGCAGGCTCCTCTCTTGCAGCCAGCTCATCCTTCAGTTGATCCCTCAATCCCCTAACAAACACAGCCCTTAAAGCCGCCTCGTCCCATCGGGCTTCTGCCGCCAGTGTGCGAAACTCGATAGAATAATCTGCAACGGTTCGAGTTCCTTGTTGCAGATTCAGCAGACAACTAGCAGCTGAGCCAGAGTGTTCAGGATGATCAAAAACAGAGGAAAAATGATCCGAAAAAACTCCAAAGGAAAGTGTATTGTAATCCACAGAAGAACTCAATGCTTCGGCCCAGGTTAAAGCTCTTCCACGAAGCAAACTCAACATATAGTTAATCTTAGTTCCATCAGAGGAAAAAGACACGGGGCGCTGGCGAAATACCTTATTGCATTGAAAAAGAAATCCTCTGCATTTCTCCACCTCTCTGTGGAAAGGCTCAGGATCGGCAATGGGGAAGTCCCGGCATGGAGTGGAATCCACAGGTGGATAGGAGGAGGCAGGAAATGTAGCAGAAGACGTCAAAGCTGAGACCTGAGCAGCAAGGTTTGAGACGTTTAGAGCCATGGACTGATTGCTCTCCACTAAGGCTCAAATCATCTGCTCATGATGGCCCAGAAGATTTCCCTGATGGGAAATGGCGTGCTGGACTGAGGCGGGATCCGATCCGGCGTTGGAGCTGGTGTGCGTGGAAGCACGGAGATACTCAGACGAGAGGTACGTGGCTGGATGTGGCAGGCAGAGGAGTAGGCAGATGGATTCTGACGGAGAACACAAGGGTTAGATTTGGCAGGAACACAGAGAGTTAGTTTTACCATAAACTACATGTACCAAGTCGAATTACCAGCGAGGTGAAACGACGAACTGGTGAATACTGGATGAGAGAACCGGGCATATAAGCAGGTGAAGGTGAGTAGTGTAATCAGGATGATGAGCAGCAGCTGCGGAGGTGAGTTGGCGGGAATCAGAAGTGGGTCAGCCACACCCAGCCAGGGAGACAGACACACAGACAGACAGAACGAACATAACAAACATAAAACAAAGAAGAGAAGAAGGAGGGAGATACTGCAAATCCTCACATGGAAGCCAGTGCAATGAGGCCAGAATTGGGGTGATATGGTCACGCTTTTTATGGCCAGTGAGAAGACGTGCAGCTGCGTTCTGAACTCGCTGCAGGCGTCTAATTGATGCCTGGTCCATACCCACATACAGAGCGTTGCAGTAATCCAGTCTCGAGGTAACAAAGGCGTTAATGTTTTGGCAGAGCCAGAGAAATCTAAATCTGGCTCCAGTCCAGCAGATGGAGACAGGGAGCCTAGGGTCTGTGCTTCCACTGAGGAGGTGGCTCAGAGGAAGAGTGTGCCACTCCTAGTTAAGGAGCTTGATGCAACACACCGGTGAAGGCACACTCTCAGCAGAGAAGCAAACAATTCACTGTGGGAGAGGAGAAAGACTCAAGGATTCAGACCAAAGACGCTGCTGGTGATATATTTTGTAAATGTATTTTTCTGTTGGAACCATGTTTTATTAAGATGAATTATTATTTCTAGTTTATGAGGTTAAAGGGCCCATGTCATGGCCATTTCCACTGATCATAATTACATTGTTGAGGTATACTAAAATAGATTTATACTGTGCAATTTTCCAAACTCACATTGGTTTCGCATACAGCATCTCTGTATAGTATGTGTATGCAGCAGTATTCACTCTCTGTGAAAAACGACTTGATTGTGCTCCTGCCCCCCCCCTCCCTGTGAGCCTAGTGTGCTCCGATTGGTCAGCTCGGCCACTCTGTTCTGATTAGTCAACCACCAGAGAGGCTCCGCCCATGTCTAACACTGTGTTTTCGGCTCTGAGCATCAGTTTTCAAATGGCGTCAATACAGCCATACATGTTTGAACCGGAGTCCGATCCTGAAAGTGAGACGGACCGTGATGGACCTGATCCACCGTCCCAAACTAGACTGGAGCAGGCGGTTTCACAGTGGAAAGTTTTAATTTTGTATAGCTCTTACATTTCAGATGTAATGTTAGAACTGCATCATTTATCTACAACAAGTTTGTTTCGCTAACCAAACTGTACCTACAACTGCTGTTATGTAGGTGCACGTGTGGAAACTGCGCAGTCATGCCAACCGAAGTGGAAAACGTCTGTTGCAGGGAAATTAGAAAGGTAACAGACATACTTTTCGCGGGAGACTGCCGATTTCATAGCCCTCTCCCGGTTTCCTCCCGGGGTCATATTTCTCCCGATTTCTGACAAAATCAGATTTACCCTGGACTGTTTCCACTCGGACTGTAATACAGCTACACAATTGTTTGGTTTCCATGGTAGCGCATCTCTTTAGTAATGCTCCCGATTTCCGAGGTCTCAAGGTTGGCAAGTATGGTGACAGATACAACAAAAACACCAACAGTAGCACACAACATTATATACACCATAGGCCTACATACTTGTCAAGTCAATAGACTATTATATGCCCTTTTATTTATTCTATAGTAATTGAATGTTTATTTTGTAAACCTCGCCATATTTGGAGTTAATTGCTAAACGTGTTATGTTACAAATATCTTATCTTCCTATAGGTTGCAACACGAATGATGCAAGTCCCAGAACCTATTGTGTGCATGGTTGACCACCCCGGACTAGAGCCAAACTGTTTCAATCCATACACCCTGCAGAACCTCCATAACATTTATAGGTTTGATTATGGACCTTTGAGGCGTAGAACAGAAGGAGTGTAAGTTATTTTTACCTGTAATAAACTACTACTGTATTTGATGAAAAATCAAATCATGGTTTGCTATATATGAATGATATGCTATCTAGGAGCACATCATTCAGGGAAGAAAGGCTACCAAGTATTTCTATCAAACTTTATTTCTAGAAATGTACAAAATGATGATTGATATACATATATACACTGTATAAGATAAGATGGACCTGTGGGGAAAATCAGTTTTTCAAGCAGCCAGAGGGTAAGGGTGAAAAACAGGACAGCACATATATCTTATCATCCATTCCTCCTCTTATAGGCGTTTTCGGCATCTTGCCTATCGCAGCTTTGTAAGCTGGTGCTGGGGCTTCTTAGGACGAGGCATCAGAGTGGTCATCCCGTCATGTGTTGTCCGCCGGATACGCCGGGAGTTTCCTGATCTGGCAGGACAGTATGTTGGCTTCCGACCACCCCTTGACTAAAACGTGAGACATGGCGGGCTACCACTTCCTCCTTTGAGGGCCTGTCAAATTGAGTGGACAGGTCCTTTGGGATGGGGATTTTATTCATCTCCTCCACAAAGGGTGTTGGATCCTCAAAGACTTCCTCAAACACCAGCCTCATCAGCTCACCCACGTACACTGAAAAATATAACATTCATATAATAATTTATTATTTGTATTTTTCTTTTATTCTTTCATTGTACATATAATTCAGTGTGGCTATCTCTCTAGGTCGTCCTCAGACGAGCCCTCCATCGTTGCTTCCAGTCATCCCGGTTCGCCATATATCTGGCCAGTTCATTGGTACTTTGTGCAATAATAATTTAAAATGTAAGTTATGTTTTTAATAAAAACAAAAATATTTGACAACTTACTGTATGTAGGGTCCTTCTTTACAGGCTTTGCGGTACATTCTCCCCTCCTTGCTTTTGGATAGGCCAATTTGTACACCGGTAGTCCTGCAGCTGTTGTGGCTTGCTCACAGTCAGCATTCTCATTGTGATGCATGGCTGCTAGACACAACCTATAGAATTGCAAAATAAAATGAGACTTTGTGTTATGACAGAATAAAACCCTCATGCCACTAACAGTGACTGTGTTATAAGATGCTACAGAATAAATGATACAGTGTATTACCTGCACAACATTCCCATGAAGGGGAAAACCACATTTTTGGGGGCAAAACGCAGAATCAAGCTGTGGAAGGACTCCAGCGATGAGGTCTGGTAGTGATGGCTTAGCTTTTGCACATCTTTGAGAACTCTCGTGTTGTTGAGTATTTTCTCAACTTTGTGGAGTGTTATTGAATCTTGAGTGAAATTACAAAAACATCAACATCCCATTAGAACATTACAACTATCATTTTCCATAACAACAATGTTATATTTACATTCATAACATATTTAAATTTCTCACTTGTTATTTCCAATTGTTTTATAAATATTGAACTTACCAGGTTTTAGCCATTTATTTGCATCTGTTGTGGCTCTTTCGGGATGTTCACACTTGGGGAATAGGGGGTCGTCGTGCACGTGAATGTTTTGTAGGTGGTTGACGACTGACGTCCACCTTGCCACCTTCTCCGGCCCCGAGGTTGTGCTCGTCGCACTCCAGTATACATGGTTTTTTATGCTGTGCAGCCACCTCTTCAACAACTTGCAGTCCTTGTTCTGTGAAAGTTTCACAAGTTTCTTGGACAAACCTGATAAAAAGAAAACACATGCACAAGTGAATATTCAAGCCATAGTGTGTAAATGATGTGCTGTGATGGACAATATTCAAGGGTGTGGTGGAAAGAAGGGTGGGGGGCAGACAGAAGGGTAAGCACAGCATGTTAATTGCAACCATATGATAATTGCCTGACAATGGTCAGGGACACACCCTTCTGTCTGAAAGCATTTAATAGCCAGCCCAGGAAACCCCCATACATATTCATATACACATCACTGTAAATTCCCATTCTAAAGAGTACTCACATTATCCTAAGAGTAGTGAGTGAAATTGAATTTACAATGACAAAAGGGGCTGTGATCAAGTGGTCTGGCAGACAGTTTACAATAATACAATCTATCCAGACATGATGTCATGTCTGCTGCTGATTAGAAGCTCAGGATAAATTGCATAGTAAAACAAAGGAATATCTAAACAAAGGACAGTGTCTCTGATTTGGTATTCTTCCATTCAAACATATAGGGATAAATACCTTTTTCAAAGTGCCACACATCATAGAATTGTTCTATGTTGCATTCCCTCAGAAACTTCTGGATCTGTGGATGACGGTCAGTCACAATGTACTCAACCGCCAAATTGTTTGACTCCAGATGATCTAGGCATCTTTTCAGTCCCTCCTTTTCCATGTGATAACTACCACCAACTTCATTGCTCTGTTGGTGAATAAGAAATAGGGCATAAATACACTGAAACATGCATCAACAGCCAGTAAGCATAAAATGATAACACCCAGAAAGAGATTCACACCTGAACAAGCTGGAAGTCCACAATGGTATTGCTTCCCAGGCGCATGAGTGTGTAGCTTCCGAACTTCGCTGAGTGCCCTGAAGATAATATAATAAAGGAGGTTTCAAAGCTTTTCAACAGAATGTCAATGGATAACTTAGATGAATTGTAATATACACCAGTAACTCTGGCACTAGACTGTCTTGTCTGTTTCTGCTTACCTGGAGAGTCTGCTCTCATATCTCCTGCAACTGTGACCTTTCCCCCCTGGTGGTGTAGTTGCTGGAAAATCTTCAGCTGATCAGTCTTCCACTTGTGGATAATAGCAGGCTCCAGGTAATTCCTAGCATGCCTCCTGAAGGTCTCATACTGGAAGATCTCCAGCTGCATGGCTCTGCATATCTATGAATACATAGAAAAAGAGGAAACGTTTTTGAAAAAGTCCACTGCTGTCAATTTTAATATGCTATGGATGTTAGATGGTAAAATACCTTTTGTAGTTGGAAGAAGGAACCACCACTGAAGTATGGAGCAGCGGATAATTGCAAGTTGCCAACCGGGGTACTTCCGACGACGGGCTGGCTCTCCCATTGTCTGAGGTAACTGCAGCTTGGACAACGCTGTGTGAACGCCACAAAAGTCCCCAGTTTTCGTCTTTGGACATCACAGTCTCTCTTACACACCGGACATTTTTCAAACAGCTGTCCGAGGCAGCTTTCAAACACAATGTACTTTGCTTCACTGTGCGTGGATCGTGTCTGAAATCTAATGTAACAAAACAAAATTAACAATACATGTTAGATTTCCAATATTCTTTTTTTCAACTCTGAAGTACAGTAATAGTAATGTATACCCAATATATCAAACTTACGATACGTCAGATTCTTCTGCAAGTACAGAATCATCAGGGTGGTAACTCGAATCCAGAGTCTCTTCAAATTCAGTTGAAGTCTCTCCTTGTTCCTCCTCCAACTCCAGTCGAGGTCTCTTCCTAGGTCCCAGTCCTGGGCCCTTTATTGGTGTAGAGGCCAAGGGGAAATCTGGGTAGGTGGAAGTTTCAGTGCCAACACTTTGGAAAGAAACCGTGGCCTGGATGCCTGTTAATAAAAGGGAAAAATGCATAAATACTTTGTACATTATATAATACACTAATACATTTTAAAAGGCCAACAACTTGTGTACATCTGACAGTAATTCATGAAATATTTAGAATGAACTACACAGAGCAAAGCACTGTATTTCCTGTAGTCCACATAACAGTATTTCAGTGATAAACAATAATATCAAATACAGTTTTATTTATAGAGCACATTTAAAAACGATTTTGTTCGAGCCAAAGTGCTGTACATGTAATAAAAGCACAATTAAGGTATCTCAAATGAAAAATACAGTCAATGTCAGTGTTATGTTATACCTTTGCTCCTCACGTGTGCCGACTTCAGTGTTCCACGGGACAACTGTGTAGCAACTGACACTTTCAATTCCACTGTCTGTGTTCCCACAGACCGTGTCTCAGCCCTCTGTAGAGTTCCCACAGACCGTGTGTCAGCCCTCTGTAGAGTTCCCACAGAAACAGTCTTTGTACGGTCTGTTTGGCATCCGACTGTACTGGAGCGGTGGTGTTTACCGGGGTCCTGCTGTGATGTACTCTAAGAAAGATACAAATAACATTCATAAAATTAATTTTGTATCCGATGAAAACAGTCAATTTCCTAAAAGCAACACTTTCTGGGAGACATTCCTAACGAAATGAAGTGCAAATCACAAAATATTATTGAAACTTAGTTGTGTGATGTTCGTCAATTTGCCAGCTGGATTACAATGCTAATCTACGTTGGCTAGTTGTTCAGTGTAATATGCTATACTATACTATGAACAACAGATAGTGGTTCATATTAAGCTATCAACAGCATGTTTACAATTGCAATCTTATATGGGTAGTCTGCTCAAATCATTGTAGCTGGCACGGTCGTTACGCCATATATATATCGCCTCGTTGTTGTGTAGCTTGGTAGCTTGTAGCTTGGTAGCTTGTAGTTTATAGCTCAAGCTATACGTAAATCACCGAATCACAGAATACTGTCTCTGACTATTTCGTGTGTGAATGCAGACAATATCCAGCTATGAGGAACATGTAAGGCGATCTGCTGATTGTTTGATAAATACACAAATAACAATGCAAACTCACAGGTTGTGGGTCCAAACTAAATATAGCATCGTTGTTTGTGTAGTTTACACGCGTGTAGCTTATAGCTCAAGCTATAATGTACGCTAAATCACCCGGAGAATACTGTCTATGACTATTTCGTGTGTGAATGCAGACATTATGCAACTACGAGGAACATGTATGCAAGGCATCTGCTGATATATGGAAACGCTAGCAACAGTTAGCCTAGTTAGCACTATGTCAATGATTTAGGAGGCGGTTTACACATTTAACCAGTGGTGGTAGATACATTGTTTGATAAATACACAAATAAATGCAAACTTACAGGTTGTGTACTCGAATCTTCTCCTGCTCCAAACGGTCCAAACAAACTAGGCATAGCATCGTCCTTCAGTTTCAAATGCTGTGCATATCCGGCTTCAAACTGGGCAATGTTTTGGAAGCTTTCGTCTGTGAAATGCCGGGCACACAGTAACATTCTTCGAACCTCTGAAGGAACAGTGTTAAACAGAAATGTCAACCACTGACTCCGTCGTGGTTCTTCCGTCGGTAGGACAAACAGCTCAGATTTCTCCTCACATTTCAGGAAACAGGTCCTTGGCATCGGCATGACTAGATGATTGTGAACTGAACCAGCTTCCAACAGTACATGTTAGGCTGGCAGAGGGTGCGGCCAGCGCCGCTGGGTGTGGCCATAGCTCTTCGGGATTGGTCCATTTCGTTCCGGGTACCGCATGACATCAGGCCGTACCCGGAATTAAATGGAAGACTCAAATGGGCAGTGACGTATCTCCAACGAGGCGTTTTGGGGAGGTATTTTCTGTGTTAGAGTTTTACTCGCTACAGGGTGTACTTTGAGGGTTTTGACTCTGCACACCGTTTACATGCATAAAAACCTTCATAACACACAAGGGGACGGGTAATAACCAGAAAAGCATGACATGGGAGCTTTAAGCTAAAACATAAGATGCTGGATTATAAATGTACTTTGTTGAGATGCAATTATTTTTGTTTAAGTGTTAAGTTTAATTATAACTTGAGATGAAGTCAATGAAAGTATGTTTTGTGTTTAAGGTTTTCAACCTGAATGAAGCATCAGAAGGCTATCGAGAGGCTAAATGAAGCAGAAATAATTCTGCAATAACTCAAAATAAAGAGGAATGATGCAAATCTGAGTTGTCCCATGTGTCCTTTTGGAGGGAATCGGGCCGTTTTCAAGTTTAGGCTGGAGTCAATCATGAAGACAAGATCATAACTTGACAGTTAATAACCCTTTCTAGGTCTTTAAAAGATAAATACGACTTGGTTTTAGCCAATAGTCGTATTTTAAAAAAGCAGGTCTTGACTACGGTGCTGACCTGCTTATCAAATTTAAAAGCGCTATTGAAGGTCACTCCTCTCGTTCATGACAGAGGGGAGGATGTTTTTATTGAGGGAGCCCAGAATATCAACCGGAGAGGCTGGAGGTTGGGGTCCAAAAAAGATGACCTCAGTCTTGCTCTCATTGAGGCTGAGGAAGTTTTGGCTCAGCCAGGATTTAATCTCTGTTAAGCAGTCCATCAACTGCTGTAGTGAGTTGGCATTTTGATTGAGAGGCAGATAGATCTGTACATCATCAGCGTAACAATGGAAGGGGATATTATCTTTTGTGAGAATTGAACCTAGGGGCAGTATGTACAGTAGAAAAAGGATGGGGCCCAGGATCGAGCCTTGGGGAACCCCACAGGTAAGAGGGGCTTTAGCAGAGGAGAAGGTACCCAACTGCATTGAGAAGCTACAGTCTGTCAGATAAGACCTGAACCATGCAAGGACAGAGCCTGTGATGCCTGCGGACTGTTCAAGCCGTGACAACAGGATACTGTGGTCCACAGTGTCAAAGGCAGCAGTCAGGTCTAACAGCACCAAGACAGCTGGGCTACCTGAATCGGCGGCTAGGAGCAGATCATTAAAAACTCTTAAAAGGGCTGTTTCAGTACTGTGCATGGGTTTAAAGCCAGACTGAAACTTTTCGTGGGTGCCATGCGTGGTTAACCTGTTACGCACCGCCCCCCCCCGGTACCGGGCGGATAAACGCGTCATTTGCAGGAAACAACGTCTAAGGAATCTTAATATTTAATAAACTATGAATGTTTTATATCCATGTAACGGGAAGAAACTCAGCTAACTGATCTTTAAAAAAAAATTCAAAAAAACCCCCACAATGCTAACACTCAGCCTCTGAATTAGCCACGAGCGAAAAAATGTAACCTAAAACGGCACATAAACTCACTCATAACTCCCTTATTACTTATCCTAGATGCACAGCCAACCCATCGATTAGCATCTCCTGGAGACACAGAATCTGTGTAAAAAAACCTCAACACTCAGTGATAAACATTTGCGACGCTATAAACGAAAGCGTACATCAGAACATGTGGAGCTAGGTAGCTAGAAACGCTAACATGGCTTACCTTGGTCAAAACTGGTCTTCACTGGCATTAAAACGATAAAAAAACGATGCTGCAGTTAATCCATAGGTTAATCCAATGTGTCTGTGTCCTCTTTGAAATGATTTCTGATAATCCATAAGCAATAAAACTGCTTTTTCGTTTCCAAATGTCAGAGCTAGAGATAGGTCCACTCTAAATGATGCTAAATTACATGCGCGAAGCCCCCACCTCTTCTCTTCACAACGTGTGTGTGTGGGGGATTCCCCCTTCGATTCTATTGGCTCTAACGGTCAGAAAGAGGTGTCAACCATCCAAATCGACCAAGGGGGGCCAGAGATATGGAAAAAAAAACATTTTCACCCAAATCACCTCAGAGGTGGAGTGGTTTTGGCTAAACCTCTCTAAAAAGGTCAAATGTCACTTGTTTTGCATCAATCTTGATGCAGGGTACTTATTATATGTTGTACTTTGGATTCCTAAAGCTTTTAGTCTACTAACCCATCATCCAAGGGTAGTTTTCACTATAAGTAAAAAAGAATTTTTTGGACGGACACTATAATTTACAGTTTTTTACTATGTAAAATCTGAATTTTCTTTAAAATAAAAAACATCTATATTGATTCTGACACTTCTACATCCAACTCACAGATGTAACCTTGCTTTGATAAAAGAAATTATTCATATAACCCTTTTAGAAGTTAAGTTGTAGTCATTTGTTTTGGGCATGTCATTTTCGAGCCTGAAACATGAAAAACAGGCTTGGTGCTTAACAGGTTAAAAAACGACTGCAACTGGGCGTAGACTACTTGCTCCAGGGCTTTAGATAAAAAAGGAGATGGGCCTAAAATTTGCGAGAATGGAGGGATCGAGATTTTTCTTTTTAAGTAGTGGCTGCACCACGGCATGTTTGAAGGTGTTTACAAGCAATAAAATACTCGCTCCAACTGATTCAAAAACATCTCTAAGAAAGCGAGAGGGAATGCTGTCTGAGGTGCAGTTTGTCGGCCGCAGGTGCTTGACTACATCCGAGAGAGAAGAGAGGGATACAGGTTCAAAGTGGTCGAGGACAGGAGGGGACAGAAAAGGAGCAGAATCTGGGGTGGCACTAGTGTGGGCTAGCCTCAGAGCAGATACTTTTTCGATAAAAAATGTAAGAAATGTATCACAGAGAGTAGTCGATGGCACAATTGGAGAAGCATCACAGGGATTAATGATCGAGTTGAGGACATTAAAAAGAACCTGAGGTTTATGGCTGTTTTTGGAGATTAACAGAGAAATGTGCTCTGTTTTGGCTGCTTTGACTGCCGTCTGGTAGTCGGAAAGGCAAGCACGAAGGATTTCTAATGAGACATGGAGTTTATCCTTTTTCCATTTTCTCTCTGCACGCCTGCAAGTGCGTCTAAGAGCGCGAGTACAGTCATTGAGCCACGGCTCTGAGAGAACTTTAGTGCGTCTAAGCGTAAAAGGAGCAACGGAATCCAGTATTAGTGTACATGTCGAATCAAACATGGAGATAAGCTCATCCGCACTAAGAGCACAGTTCACCTCTAATTTACAGATCGGAGAAGCATTAAAAACATCAGAAAACTGTGAGGCAGTCAAGGGGTTAATTAAACGCAGACGACGCGCAGGAGCACATAATTCGACTCCTGCGGAAGGGATCGAGGTTGTAAACAGAACCGGTAAATGGTCTGAGATACGCGTTGCTGCACAGATTTCATCCACAGAGATAGACAGTCCAAACGATAATACTAAATCTAAGGTATGTCCTTTATCATGTGTTGGACCAGCCACGGACTGAACGAGACCGAAAGAATCGAGGAGATTTAAAAAGTCCCTAACCAGAGGTTTGGACTCGCAGCACACATGCACATTAAAGTCTCCGCAAATCAAAACACGATCATATTTCACCATGATCCCGGACAGAAAGTGAAGTAAAAAGATATGATTCTAAACTGTATTGAAGTAAACATGTATTGTTTGAACTGTTTTAAGTAATCACATATATAGAAATTATATTCTCACTTACAACTCACTGACACAGAGATCCTGTTACACACACATACACCTCCCTTCTCACCAGCACACACACACACATATTCTTTTCAAGGTTCTTTATGGGCATCATTATATCTGTATACAATGTTTAATTGTCTGAGAGTAACAGTTTATGTGAAATATTCCATGGGAAAATAAGGGAGTGGATATCGGGGCAGAGATAAGATTGACTTTGACCTTGTGGAACCTTAGAATCTCACGTTCTGGTCAGAACTCTGATTCGCTGTATTGAACCCGACCAGAAGTGAATCCAACCAGTAAAACACCTGGGGGATGTGAGCAGCTCACACAGCTCCTCCTCACGGACTCTCTAATTTGCTTCGGAGTAAAATGGGAAGGGAGAAGTCAACACATCTCCGCCCCAAAATATGAATATGAATACTGTTGTTTTTGTATGAAAAATACTTCTGGTTTGCTGAAGGTTGGTCTAGAGACGTGTAAACCGCATCACAAACCTGAAGTCCGTACTTCTCGTTTTCTGAAGGCTGGTCTGTCTACCTGTAAACCGCATCACAAGCCTGAAGTCCGGAGTACTCTGTAAAACTTGTATACGTGTTTTGTTTCCTACCAGTAAACTCAGATAATTGTTATAACTTTTGATTCCGGTGTTTTCAATTCCTTTCTTTATTAAATAGAGATCAGCCTCATCCAACGAACGGCGCGTAGCAGAGGGGGGGGCTATCAGCCACCGCCATAGGTTTTCTGCTCCAACAAAAGTCAGAAAAGTCAGTAATTAAATCCTTATTGCACTTTGGCGGACGATACACGACTGCGCAGAGTATAGGCGAGGCCGGGTTCAGTTCAAAAAGCTGCAACTCAAAGCTAGCATAGCTAGTTACAGGGTGAAGCAATCGGCATTGGAGACTA